ACTTAATTGAATTTCAATTTATATATGTTGCTGCATTCATTATCTGTCATGTTCCGTTGAGATAATGGAAATTGCAAGTTAGTATTGACAGATGACTGGCATTTTGTGCAGGCGAATAGTAATCAAATTGTTGGTAGCCTACTTCCAGAGAAACCACAGCAAAGAGGTATAATTTCATAACACAATGTTTCTGATTTCTCAATTATATATATGAAGAGGTTCTCTCTTCAAAATCAATAAAGCACTACTCTTCAAATTTTCCATTAGTATTACGTGCACAGAAGATGCATGGAAGACCACTATTTTCGTAGCCACTACTTCCTCTTATCCGGGTTATTTTCTATTTGACTTGTTATGCACTGATTAACGTACGAGGGTGCCACTAGGTTTTGGATCTTATGGTTCGCATGCTAGGATTCTCTGATGAAGATAAGCAGAGGATAGGTGTTGCTCAGCAAGGTGCAGGTAAAGGCGTTGTTCGCGGTGTTTTGGGTATACCAGGTCGGCTAGTTGGTGGCCTTTGGGGTGGCGGTTCGGCTGAATCTAATGCAAATATGGCATCTGAAAACCAGGTATTGCTTCTTCTTTATTGATTGTAAACCCTATAACATAAGTTTGCATCTGTTCTGGAGTCAGTTTACTTTGGTTTCTGTTCCTGAAGGGTGATTTACCATATGCTTAGTATTTCTTTTGATTGATAAGCTGACTCAATATATCCTACAACCAGTACCGAACTTTGATAAAATTATTCATAAGTCCCCATCGCGTGGTCGCAGCCTTTTTTGGAATCAACAGTCAATGGTTAGGCTTGGAGATTTTCCTCTCTTTAATTGTTTGTAGTTATGCACCACCAAGTTAGATCCTAGAATTCTCTGAATTTGGAGATTTCCGAGTTGCCGATGACAAGTCTGTTTTGCTGGCGATTTTCCGACAGTTTTGCTACAGACATGGGTCCCACACACCCTTTGTCTCTTCTGTGACTATTTTGTGGTTAACTTCCATTTCTCTAGACTTTCTAGTATTTTTATGATCATCATCATTGTCATTGAATGATCCTCATTGCCACCTGTGTATTTCGACCTTTCTGGCTTCTGTTGGATATTCATGGAGTTTTATTTTATTTTTTTTTAAAATTAAAAAAAAAAAAAAAAAACCAAATGCAGTCTTTTCAAAACTTATTTACCAACCCCGCATCCTTTTGAAAATAATTCCCAAACCCTCATTTTTTTTTTTTTTGAAACATTTCAAGCTTGAAGAAGCAACTTTGGGAAATAAGTTTGAAACAACCTGCATTTGGTAATTAAAACAAGAAAACACTTGAGATTGGTAACTAACGCTGCATTCATGTTACTGTCCTTTCCAGTCCTTTGCAGACCTTTGGGTTGATTTCCTTCTGAAAGAAACCGAAGAACGAGAGAAGAGGGAATCTGCAGAAGCCATCAATGCCTCCAATGGTGATGCAAGAACGAATGCTACTGGTGCTGCCTTTTCTTTCTCTAGATTAAGCCCCTCCCCGAACCAGAACAGCCCGCTGTTGTCTCAGGGAAACATACAGCAGTCGGACCATTCAGATTCTGAGTTCTCAACAGTTCCTCTAACTTCGTCAGAGCACAGTTTTCAGGTTTCAAAATTGCTTCCAAGATATTGAAACTAATGTTGGATTGTTTTATTAATGAAAAGGTATAATTATTTTTTTTTTGTTGCTGTTATAGTCTAGTGCAATACTTTCCATTTATTTTTTTATCCATTTATTATTAAATGGGTCAGCTTGCAAATTGCAATGCAAGTTATTGTTACTTCAATAGTTGCCCATATATATATATATACTAGTGTATACCCGTGCCTAAAGGCACGGTGTAAATAATTTTAAGATTAAAATGTAAATATAATTTATACGTATTATGTTGAAATTTATAAAGTTTGTTATTTTTGATAAAGATATTGAAAAAATATATTGAAATATTTTTCTTCTTAAAGAACTTATAACAATTTTGCTTGTATTACACACTCTACAAAACTTAAATAAAATAACAACTCTCCCTAATCTTAATGCAAATTAAGAAACAAACATATAGGATTTAAAGTTATATTGCATATTAAAATATAAAAGGCCGTAAATAAAAGTGTAAACACTGAACGAAAAACAGAAATAAAGTTATACTGTCATACACCAAAAGAGTAGGTTAAAACTTTACAAAAAGTGGGTTAAAGCTTTACAAAAGATGTATGCTTTACAAAAGATATGTCACTAACATGTCATACACCAAAAATTATATTGTCATACACCAAAAATATATATGCTTTACAAAAGATGTGTTAATAACATGTCTTAAAATATGCGTTTGCCCAAACTTCCTCCTCATTACTTTCCAAAAAGTCTTTGTGTCAACTTTTATATATCCCCAATGAGGAATATGCACAACAATCTGATAATTTGTGGAAACAAAAAAAATATAGATTAGTACATTTGTTGGAAATATACATGTCAAAATACTTTGAAATTGAAATTACCTTATTACATCCCCATCGAAGCAAGGTAGTCGTATTTCTCCTTTTAAGCTCCATAGATTTTTCGGTCCAATCCTACAAAAGTCCAAATTTCAAATTATTATTAAATTGAAAGGGGGTATCTGTAATTTAACCAAACCTCGAGGGGTGTATATGTAATTTTAAATAAATAAAACATCAATAAAAAGTTAAATAAAATTATTTTATTTTTAAATTGAGACATTTAAATTTTATTGAATTTTACTAAATATAATACATAATTAAATATTAGAGGGTTAAAATTGTCATTTCATCACCTAATCCCAACAGTAAATAATCCTTAAGAATTTTCGGAGTCTGATGGAAGTTGGTCTGGAATTGGTACTGCTCGCTATTGAGGAAAATAATAATGCAACGCAAACGAGGCGAATATCGTATAAAATAAGATGGCTTATGTGACGTAGATTAGAAACCTCTGGTAAAATGCCTGCTCGTAACCCAGCATATAAAGTACATTACATAGTCCGTTTTAGGGATTGGCGACTTACCCATTCAGTGACCTCCCAAATTGTCCCACCCCCCCTAGGATAGTATAATTCCCCATATGGGGGATAAGGAGTCCGGCCAGACTCCATGTTCGCCGGACTAAAAAAAAAACAAACATTGGATTGGATGATTGCTCCGGATTACAATCCGCACAGTAAATAATCCCCCTAATCAAACACATCTATTATTTTTCATAATCATTTTAAATCTTGAATGTGTCATCTTCATTACCATCATCAACGCTATTGAACTTGAAAGTTTTGCTTCAAGTATAACGTATACTTCATCATCTTATAAGTTTATCTGTCTTGCATTAACATTCTCGGTCGTTTTTTGTTGTTCTTGTTTCGTTCGTGCTGTTCGGTAATACAGTACTGAACATAATCCTTTCATTCAATATATAGGTTCCGAACATTAATGCAGATAGTCAGTTATGTAATTTTCTTTGTTAAACTAACTTAGAATGGAAAATAGTGAATTGAAATGAATTTAAGTTATGAATTTTGAATAGATTTAATTCATGTTATTTTAAGTTGTGAATTGGAATGGATTCAAGTTACACAGTGATGAATAAATTTTGTTCGGACATACAATGCTGACAGGATCATTATTGTTCGATAAAACAGTTCTGAACAAAATACATTTTTTCGGCTACACGGTGGTGAACAAATTGTTTTGGGTTACATTCAGAATTCTGATGGCGATTCAGACGATGATTCTGTTTTTCCTCATCTTGCAAACAGTTATACAAATCCCGTAGAAATTGGAGTATCTTCGATTGATCTCAGCGATGACGAAGATACAAAAAGTAACGAAGAAGATGATGATGAGAGGATGAGAGAGATTACTGATTCGGCGATATGGAGAGCGTTCAGAGAAGATGAGAGTCGTCAGAATACTCCGTTGACGGCCGAGACGGCGACGAGAGTGATGGAGGGTTGGGGTCCAAGAATTCTATACTGGACCAAAGCTTTAAACTCTGAAAATTGAGTGAGTCAGGGAAGGAGAGGGATGAAAAATTAGGTGGGTGTGCATTTCATTGTGAATATATTATGAATATGGGTTGATTTAGTAATAAGTGAGGTGTCCAAAAAAATATTATTAAAATTTAGAATTTAGGACTGGAATCCAAAAAAATGAGGGGTCTAAAAAATTTTGATAAATGCTAATAGGAGCACTCTAATTTTAAGTTCTTGTATTCGGACAAACAATTTTGAACAATTTCGAACGAAATGACTATTATTTATTGAACATGTACTTAATGATTTTATTTTTAGATCTCACTAATTCAACTAATAACAACTAAATTGAAGCACCATCTCAACTTATCCTAAGAGCAAACAATAATGGGAAAATTTTTCCCATTATGACACCATTTGCCCAGGCCACATTACAGCATTGACCATTACACCCCAGAAAACAGAAAAGTTTTGAATTACCCAAAATAATCATATCAACTTTAAACTGCCGGATACAGTAAACCTTTTTCAAAGCATATATAAAAAGAAAAAGAAAAAGAAAAAGAAAAAGGATTGGTTTGGAATATGAAAAAGAAAAAGCAAAAACACCACTTTCCAACCAATTGTAGCTCACTTTACAAAAATAAAAATTAAAAAGCAAGTATACCTCACATTTTCCAAAAAAATCATTATAGCTTGTTATTGTGTGCAACAAATACAACAGCGATTCCCCCACAAAAAGATTGTATGGTGTCATAGTGCTCATGCTATATGAAAGTAATGTGTCTTAATTTCTAAGATTGACCTAACAATAGCACCCAAAATAATCATATTTTTGACAAGAATCCATCGAGGCTCATCAACAAGTCAAAAAATACATAAACCGATCACAAAATTGAATACAACTCTCTCACATGAGAGGTGGTGGATCCTACATCCATGTGAGATTTATATCCTATTATGTGATAGATTTTTGTGAAAATATAAGCCATAACCATGCACAGACAATGCAGTAAAGAACATAAAATATTATAAAGCCAACATGAAATCGCCTACAGTTGATTTGCAGGCAAACATTGAAACATTGCTGGTACTAACACTTGTAAGCATACATACATATATATATATATATTTTTAGTAGGCTAAATTCATTATAAACCCCACATCCATCCAGATTGTAAACCCATACTCGAAACAGCAGAAAACAAAATGAAAAAAGGGGCTACCAAATACAGGGATAGAAGCACATCCTGCAAACTCGCAACCACCCAAAAGTTCACTGCAACATTGCTTTCAGCTTCTCTAAGCCTTTTTCTTGTCCTTCAATGGTCCTCTTGGGATTTTGCTAAGAACCTTGGCATCAAACACGGCGTACTGCTTCTTGATCTCAATCATTGCTTTCTCTCCAAACGAATCAACCTGGTCCTCATACTTCTCATATAGTACGGGCACCGTGTGTAGCAATACAAAAGCTGTTTTATCAGAAATATGGTAATTAAGAATTAGTACATTAAATAAATAAATAAATAAACCTGCATATTCAATGCTAGAAGGGAAGCACGCACTAAATGCGTGAACTATATAACATTCTAATTTTTTTTAATATTTACTTTCTATTAAGTATTTTTATTCTTATTTTTTCTTCCTTTATTCCTACTTTTTCTCTCATAATATTTTTTTCCTAGTGGCAACCACACACAGAATGTGGGCTTCTTTAAGTTGATTGAATGACTTGAATGACGTGATTTAGTTTTACATAATTACCCCTTTAATTAATAATGATTTTATATATTTACATTTTTAATTAATAAACACACTTCAAGACGCCAAAAGTGGTGTTGACATATAAATATAGTATAGATAGATAAAATGCTAGATAAAGAATAGATTAAAGCATAAACAACAAATGGTTATTGTCATTACCTATGTAGAACAATGTCAAGAAATTGCAACAACTTCCCAAAAGTGACACAACCCACAAGCCAGCAATTACCTATTCACCAAAACATAATCCATTAATTAGAAGCCTGTAGATCAAATTCAAATATGATGTGAAAACCAAAAATAAACTCACACATGCGACAAATGTACATCGTCCCTGAGAAATTCAGTTTTGATCAAGACCAACTCGCCAAATTCCAACATAGACGGCACTATGAATAAAATTCATTTGGCAATCTAATATTTTTTTATTTATATCACAGAACACCATTGGAACTTATGCAAAGATTCAGTTGAAATTCATTGGAACAACATCTAAACTGAAAAGAAAAACTAGGTTGTCCCAAATACAATCTTAGTAACCACACACCAGGTAATTTGTGTCGGGGATACATCTACTTATTAAAAGCCACATTAACCCTGAAACCAGAGCAATGCAACCAAACTTTAACACCAACCTCAAGACCCCCGTAATTAAAATCAGTTATGATGAAATAATATATTGGTTCATGACCCCTCAACAAATTCAATAGTTTTGGCCAAAAAGAAAGAAATAAAACAAATACAAAGTATAAAAAACATTGTAAGATAACATACTCCAAGGAACATCTTTATATCTTTTCCAGATGCAATATCTCGCAACACAACAAGAGCTCGGTTAATTTCAATCCTCAGAGCAGAGGCAGCCTGAAGGAATGGTTCCTCCGGAAGATGAACTTCTGGAATATGTGGTGGAGTCCTGTAGTTAAAACATTAACACTATAAACTCATTGTAACAAAAAAATCAATCAAAGTGCCAAGTTTCCAACAATGTAAAAAACACAAGCATACTTGTTGATGAATGTTGTAGCATTGGACCACAAGAACAAGATTGCAAGAGACAATATCAACATGTGGCACACTAGAGTAAGAAGGTGGTATTCAAGCAATTCAAACAGAACCCAGATTGCAGTGGCACCCCCGAGGACACCAGCAGATATCTTCTTGTTCCTCCACAAGAAGATGTCAGCAGCTGCACCAAATGATCAATATCACTATAGCAACGTAATTAATTGAGGAAGAAAAATAGTGGTAGAGGAGCAGAAAATGACAGTGAGACCACACACACAGCCCATAAGGGGATCACATGCACAGCATCTGAAATCTGACACAATTGACACAGTGATAATTTTCCCCAAACCCAAGAGGGTAAAAAAGAAAAGAGGGAATTAATGCAGCAAGGCTGGGAAATTGGGAAAGCAAGAAAAAGATAAATACTTCAAGTATTATGTCTCATATCAATTTGGTTCAAAAAATGGAAACCCATCTAAAATAAGGCAAGTGATAATTTTCTTCTCTCCTTCTGGGGTGAGTGTGTGGGTGGGGGGGAGAGGATCAGTTGCAGCAGTAAAACACTGAGGAGGCAACTGATTTGCATTTTAATTGTCTTATCAAATTTGATTGGAATTTTTTTTTCAAAAACATAAATGTCAAGTGAGACAGTTTAATGAATCGAGGGGTATCTTTAAAAAAATTAATATTCTCTGTTCTGCTTTGTATAAATTATGCAAATTTAATATATTGTGTTTGCATAAAACTTACCAAGGCAACATCTTTTGCTGCTTGAAAAATTCAGTGGATTTCAAGGTGGCCACGACAGAACATGACGGAGTGGGGTAATAGTAAATAAAGGTGGTAACAGGCTTTAGCAGGAATCGATAGTAAAGATAGGGTTTCACAACAAGGTTGTTACTTTTGAATAAAAAGAACCCAACCCCCCCCCCCCCCTCTTTCATTTAAGTTAACCTGAACAAAGATATAATTCGCAATTTACAAGTTAGCCACTGTTGTTAAAGGGATTAAATAGGTATTCTGTCCAAATAAAGACAGTAAAATTCCTCACCATCAACAACTAACATAAGGGGAGGTCAACACAAACAACTCAAAATCAAAGTAGTACTAATGCCTAAAACACAGATAGCAAGTTTATTGAGTTCAGTCAGAGGTTCAAGTAGTCAGCATTAGGGCATTCTCCAGCCCTTACTCTTTACCCATATCAAATTTAAATTTGAGACCCTCAAAAACCTCTCTCCTTTACTCAAACTCATCTGAAAATGAGTTTTTTAGTCAAATACTATGAAGCACCGACACTTCAAAACAAGTGCCTTATCTGTGTCGGACACACGGACACTTCACGGACACATATGGGACACATCACATGGCATGTCCTCTTATTTAATTAATTTATTTTCAAGGGACACTTCTGGGACACATTAGGGATATGTCAGGTTATCTTTTCCCCTATTTTATTTAGGATTTTGATAAATGTTGAATGTTTATTATTTTTCTGTTAAATTTAAATACTTAATAGATCATTCATAAAAAATATATATATATAAACTGTAATTGTTAATTTAAAAGTACTTTTTTAACCCAAAAAAAAAAAATTAAAGTTAATTTTTGTTGATGTTGATTACTTGTAGATATAATATTAATTAGATAGCAAATAAAAATATATTAAAATATATTTTATTGTCGTGTCCCCGCCGCGTCCATATCTCCATTTTTTTGATATCACCGTATCCCATATCCACATCCATGTCCGTGTCCGCATTTGTATCCGTGTCCGTGATTCTTCGCTCAAATTAAGGGAGACTCAAATGTTTAACCAAAATTTCCAAGGCTATGCCGCTAATGAAGTTTTTACTCAAATTTATGCTTAAATCAGAGTTTGTTCATGTCAAATAAAGCGTTTACTCAAATATTTGAGTAAAAATTTGGATAAATGCTAGAGATGGCCTTGGGGCATCTCCAATCCTCGACTCCAAATTTTTATCAAATATTAATTTAGGTTAAAATCACTCAAAACAACCTCCACTAGTGACTAAACTAATACTAAATTGAGTTTTTTTTTTTACCCAAATCAAGGGAAACTCAAATGTTTAGTCAAAGTTTTCAAGGCATGTTGTGGATCTCAAATCTACCATTCTTTACTCAAATTTATGCTTAAATCTGATTTTCTCCATTGTAGTGGTTCATATCAAATACAGCTTTGGAGATGGACTTTACCACAGGGAACAAGCAGATGGACAGAAATGCACACTACAAAACGCTAATTCTCAGAAACTGGAAAATGTATGAGCTAAATAAAGGCAGTTAGATGCAAAACAGATCAAATCAGATCCAAAAGCACTTCAAACCTTTAAAACCCTAATTGACCCCATGCAATCTCCATCTCATAACAAATGCAATAACCAGATCTTACAGAATTTATATGCCTGTGCAAATATGTGCACCTCCATTCATAAAAACTTTAAACAGATCTACCAAAAAAACACGTTAAACTTCTAAAACCCTAGCTCACCTAGTCACGGCCTCATCTCTCAATCATGCAAAACAACTTTAAACATTTATACCTGTAGGTGTGTATCTAAATATACATATATATATATATATATAGAGAGAGAGAGAGAGAGGAGGTGAGACGTACGTTTTCCTCCACCGAAAACCTTGTGAACGGGCTTCTCTCTGCCGAACAGCCGGAAAATCTTGGTCTTGACGGACGACGGAGGCGAGGAGGGTTTCTTCTTCTTGGAATCGGAATCGGAGTCGGAGGAAGACGAATCGGAGTGGTGGAGCTTCTCGGTGATCTTCTCCATCAATGACTCACCTTTGGGATCCGCACTTTCGATGTGATCGGCCATTGCTCGAATCTCAAATCTTTGATATCAAACCCTAATGTTTCGATTCAACGCAAACGAAAAGTAGAGAGAGAGAGAGACAGAGAGAAACGAAGACGAATCCTAGAGCTGAGAAATGTGGTGATTTGCAAACAGTGAACAGGTGTCCAACATGAGCTCCGAGCCTGAGGTTCGTGAAAACCGACCAAGTTGCTTCGGAGAAGTTCAAAAATTCCGGGTTTTTCGAGGATTAACGGCGTCGGATTTCACGGCGTTACGAGACGGCCGTTTTTTTAAAAATTTTTTATCTTGGACGGCTGAGGACGGCGAAGGGGTGGGCTGGGCTGTTGGTTAATTTGTGTGGGCCGGAAAAACATTATGAAATTTTGAAGAATTACGGACCGGTCTTAGAGCATTTTCACTTAAACCTTTAAAATTTGGTATGTCATTTTTTTTTTTGAAAGTTTGGATGATAAATTGACATATGTTAATCAAAAATGTTTAAGACCCCTTTACCCCTCACCCCCTTTGACCACTTTTTTTTTTTGATTAGTTATTCCGCCACGTGTGTGTAGAGGTTGTGGGGGTGGTGATTGAAAGGGATCTCTATCAATGCTCTATGTTAATTTAATATGAAAGTTTTTCATCTGATATGTCAAATATATTATTCTATTTTTTTTAAATTTAAATTCTTTTATATTATATAAAAACTCTTTTATTTCAAAAAAATAACATAAAATGAGAGCATATCAAAATCCATATGTAAGGGTGATGCCAAAAACCATGCCAGCTTTTGGCACACCGGTTGGAGCTCAGTCTTGCAATCAAAATTGAGCTGTTAGACTACCACATTTTAATTGACATATCAGGTGGAACTATTCTTATAGGTCAAATTTTTAATACCTAATAAGTTCTGCTTCAAATTAATAATCTATATTTTCGGTTTTGTTCTCACAATCCAACCCATTAGCCCTGTTTGGTAGAGCTGTGGGAAAGTGCTTATAGCTTATGCCTAAACAGCTTATAGCTTATAACTTTCAGCTTAAGCTGATTTTCAGCTTATTCTTAAAGCATCTCCTGCCCCACTCAAAGAATAAGCTGATTTCTGACTTCCACAAAGCTATAAGCTATGAGCTATAAGCTAAACCAAACATATCAAAATAGCTTAAATTAAGCTGAAAGCTGAAATAAGCTGTAAATAATTTCTGCCAAATAGGCACATTAGCTCACAATTCTCAATTCACATCGATTTTCACAACAAACTTATTGTTTTTATAATGATTCTCAACTGCAAAACTATCATTTTCAAGACTAATATGTTTATAAAAATCACACTCAGATTTATTAGGTAAGAATTCTAACTAATAGGTTTGATTGCTAATTTTGCCTGAAATCATTTATCATATTATTACTCTATTTTGTCTTAAAATGTTCGTACATTTTCACTACTTTAGACATTTCAAAAATTTGTTAATAATTATAATTTTTCTTTTTTTAACAATGTGAAAACTTGTTTACAAAAATTAATTGAGATATTTTAATTTGTGAAAAAAAATTGATTTTCTTTTTAACAAAAATACAATTCTATTAACCTAATTAAAAGGCTCAAATGTCGAAAATGGATAACCAACGTGGTGACAATATATATAGATAATGATACAATTATCACATACAAAAATTATAAATAATGATACAATTATCACAATTTTGTATTATTTTTGGTTTTCTATGTAAGTTGGTACTATTGTATTAAAAGGGGCATATATGGTAGGACTTAAAAAGTCAATAAATTAAATGTAATTGTGGAGAAGTGGTTTTGGAATACTTCTTATATCCAAGCACGTTTTTGAAAGATCTTCCCAGCTGTCACCTAAAACAGAAGTAAAACTCCGGTCGGGGTGCCGGAACTAGCAATCTGACGAACGAGTCAATTTCTAGTGAAAGATTAGTTCTTGGTTTCTCTTAGTACAAGTTTTTAGAACATACCTCATTCTCTCATCATTTTCTTCTTTTATACTGCCATTCTCCTTGATCTTTTCTTCTGTAGTCTAGCCCTCCATCATCACCTTGCAAGGGCCCATCCTCCAACTATACTTTTTAGAAAGGGATAGCTCAGATCCATCTATTGTGACTCTGCCGACTTACTTGATATACTCGGTTCGGATGTGCGGCCCAGGTACCCTTAACTCGGCACGCTCTTCATCATGTTCCTATACTTTTTCAGCGTTAACTCCGAATCCAGTGGGCTTTGGCTGAGCTTGGCCCATCAAAGATGGGTTTAGATATACTTTATTTGCCGATTCAGATTTATTTTTACTTGGCTCCCACAATTGCCCATTGAGCACCGCGTTAACTTATATGCCGTGTGGGATGCGTGCTTGGCTCCTGTTGGACTAGCTTCATATAGATATTTGAAACTAATCATATCTTATGCCTAGAAATTCGGGCACGTGATGAACACGTTATCACACTTGACCTGATGGATGAGACCCGATGGAGAATATGTAAAGCTTCCCACCTCTTCACTCTTTTCTAGTTCCACATTTATTGCGATTTCAAAAATTCGTTGCCTTTTCCCCATCGCTTTTGAAAAGACTTCATCCCTATACCCCTTCAGTTTCTACCACTTGATTGCAACTGTCGTAACTTCAGACACTCCTTGTTTTCATCTTGTAAGTGTTCTGAACCTATCTTTTCATCTTACTTGTGCTTTTTTTTTTGAACTTTCGACTTTGCTCCACCCCTGGTTCATCTTTTTGCCTTCGATTTGTCCATCCTTCAACATCTCCATGGCAAACTACCTGAAAGCCTTGCTCTCTAAGAGCAAGGTCACCGCTTTTCATTGCTATTATTCTATTCCCGACGATGTTCGAAAAGAGCTCGTCGCAGATACGATGGTGGAAATGGAGAGAACGAACACTGGCACCGTAGTATTTTTGTTATTAGCTATTACTGAAGACGAAGTACGTTTTTCCCATTCACTATTTTCTTTAAACGGTTTTTCGTTAATGGGGGTTGATTCCCTCACAACCAAATGTAAACTTCTAACGAATAATCATGGGCATCGTAGCACTTAATCCCCGAGTACGAATTAATTTGGGCATCCCTACTATTCAACACTGCTATGCCCTTGCCAAATCATCTAGTCGGCTAGGATGATTTTTTCTTAGAGCCAAGGACATAAATCATCAACTAGTGACCATTCTTGCCAGCTCAGGAAAGAGGGTGGATGATGTCATGGTCCTAGTTAGTGGAAATTGAGAATTCGACGCAGAGGAAGACCGTTCGGACCTAATTTCTATGCAAAAAGGGAAACCAAGTGGCCGAGTAATTCATAAATTGATTTTAATTCCATTCGGTATTCAGTGTATTAACAACTTCCTTCCTTATAGGTAACGATCTTAAGAAGGCGGTCACCTCAGAGGATGAAGCCATTTTGGCCCAAGTCAAGACTACTCTTGGGTACACCAGCCCAGAGAATCTCGAGGGACAAGGCCGTGCTACCCATATTCTTCTAAGATATGATTCATCTTACTTCACTTTTGCTGCTGCTGATCATATTCCCATTCTTCAAGGAGAACAACAGCTTACCGTTTTGGTTTTCGAAAGTTACATTAACTTAAGGGACATAGGAATCATTGAAGTAGCAGATAGTGAGAGTAGCGAAAAAATGCTAAAGAAGCCAATCAAGGTGCTGAATAAGTAGATCAAGGAGCCGATAACGAATACATCGATCAAGCGCGGTAGGGTGTCAATTTGGCTATTGAGATTGTCGAAAGCGAAAAATCCAACCAACAAGATCTAGAATTAGTGTCATCTCCCGCTCACAATGATTTAAAAGGCGCTCCGGAAGAGGCCGATATATTTTTGGACTTGGACGATTTGCCTGGATCCAAAGTCGAAGACATGGCAGATGAGTCCTTTTCACTTGCCCAATTCGCCAATAGGAGAAACGCTAAGAGAATGGCGACGAAAAGGAAAATGGGAGCCATGTGGTGACCAAAAGATCCCATACCTCATTCACTCATCATTTTCTTCTTTTATACTATCTCGTCTCTACTGAATCAACACAACCAATTCTCGAACCTGTAACCGAAGAAATGGTAGCCGAGTAGAGAGATGAGAAACACCTTGCCGAGTTCATTCAGACGGTCGAGCAACCGATTGAGAAAAGACTAAGAGTTTCACCTATCTTGGACTTGGTAGCGTTGTTTCTTGTCCAGCAAAAAATAACGGGATTGCTCATCCCAACATGTGCTTTAGCAGTGAAAGAGTCTGCATTGCACTGAGTATGGCTACTGCCATCACTCTTCCTTTGGACAAGGCAACGTTCGCGCCAAGCTGGACGTTGTTTCAATCGCCATAGCCGCGCAAAAGGCTATTCTGGTGAGTTGATTTCAACAAATGTATAATTCAGTAAAACCTCTTTGTTTTCTCAATAAATATATATATATATATTTTGTTTTGCAGGCTGCTGAGCGAATTATTAAGATCAGTTGTTGCCATCAAGATGTTGTCAAGTTGGTCAATCAGGTCAAAGTAAAAGTGGCGGTCGAGCAGGGTAAGACAAAATCAGCAGCTGTCTAATTGGCCATAACAACGCAAAGAGCTGAAGTTGGAGTGAAGAGGGCCAATGACCTATTTTGTCGTGCTGTCGAAGAAAGGGAAAATCTTTCTAATGCTGTTTTAAAAACAGTGAAGGAAGACTTGGAGAAGCTCAGGGACGAGTTGCTGGAGGCGAAGAAGGCGACAGAAGAGGCACAGTTGGCGGCGTCTAAGGCCTTTAAAGAAGGGGAGACGTCGACTATGGAAAAGTGTGCTAACGAGGCCCTGAAGTTTGAGAATCGGAGCTTCAAACATGGCTGGCTTAAGGCACTGAAAGCCGTACAAGTGATGCTCGACGTACTAATTCAATTTGAGCAAGAAAATGTGGAGCCGCTAGAGTCGGACCCAGAGTAGTTTTGAGGCTGAATAGTTAGACTAGGTGCTTTTGTTGTAATGCAATCTATTTTGTTGCTTTGTTGTTGTTGTTCTTTTTTTTTTAATTTTTTTTTTATTTTAATCGATGTGCTTGGGCCATTTTCATATGTAAAATGACCAACTCATGTATTAAATCAGTTTATAAATGAAAACATTCTATTGTGCATCAAAATTGTCTTAGTGAATTAGTGTA